AAATATTAGCAGTGCAACCTCTAAACCAGGCACTGAACGTGAATTTAGCCAAAACCACTAACACAGGACCGCGGACTCCGTCCTGAATTTCAGAGCTGGGCTCGGGGGCAGTGTCCCGAAGGCTCAGTTTTCCCTTTGGCTGGCGCGTCGGTGTGAGGAGCTCCAGGCCGAGGGCTCTCAGGACAGGACACTGGAAAGCCTCGGGAGCGACGCTGGGGAAGTGATGCATTAAATCCCAGGGCAACGTGGCAGGTGCTCTATCTGTTAGTCATCGCTCTGCTCCACGAGACCACGATGTCCTTGAGAACAGGGACTGGGTCCCCTCGGATCTGTACGCCCGGCTCTCAGCACAGTGTCTGCCGCAGCGCAGGTGCTCGCTCGGCAACGTTCAATCAATCTCCTCTCCCTGGTTCCACATCTATCTACCCACCTACCTATCTCTCCCTCCCTCCCCTCTCTCTCCCCCTCCAATCTCCCCCCATAAGACCTCCCTGTCAAAACCGTGTACATCTTTCCCAGCCCAGTTCCAGCCCCGCCTCTGACCCCTCTGTCAGAATCACTGTCTGCTCCACGATTAATCCCCTTTCCCGCAGCTTGATGAACGAGCAGCTGGAATTACAGTTACCTGTACGAACAAACAACTATCACCATCTTTTTATAGCTTCTCCCAGATTCAGATCCCGAGAAAGAGGTTCAAGGTTAAATGTTTATTTGGCAGGTGATAGGGGACACTGGGATAGGAGGGGATACACTAGTGACACAGGAGAAGGGGGCGGTCAGTAAAATGTGTGGTATTAAGCCAGTTCCCAGGAGGGGACTATTGCTTCATCTCAAGGGAAAACTCTAAAAAAATGGAATAAAACACACCGCTCAGGATTATCCAGCTGAGGGGCGAGGGGGCTGAGCTGTTCATACACCAACCAGAGCGGTTACCTGGGGGCTGCACCCCAGCGTGTTCGACCTGCCACGAGCAGGAACAGCGTCCTTCTAAAACTCCCGGGANCCAGCCATAGCCCTGTGTGTTGCCTACTCTTACTATTCTCACCCCAAATCCAGGAGAGGTTGAATGACTCGCTTAAGGTCACAAAGCCAAGGAGCACTCTCTGTCAAATCCCTCAGCACCGTCACCCCCCGTTATGGACTGAATTATGTCCCCCCAAACTCACATGCTGAAGCCCTAACCCCTAGTGGGACTGTATCTGGAGCTACAGCTTTTAGGAGGTAACTGGGTTAAATGGGGTTTAAAAAGTGGGCCTAATCCAATAGGATTGGTGACCTTAGGAAGAGAGGAAGAGACCTCTCTCCCCGGGTGCACACACCGGGAAAGGCCACGAGAGGACACAGCAAGGAGGTGCCATCTACAAGCCAGGGGGGGGCCCTCGCCAGAAAACGAAGGCAGGCACCTCGACCCGGGCTTCCCGGCTTCCCGAACGGCGAGGAAGCACGTTGCTGCTGTCGGAGCCGCCCAGCCTGTCGCATTGACCATAGCAGCCCACGCGGACCAGGACAGCCGGGGACGGAGCTGGTCAGAGGCAGGGGCCGGGCCCTGAAGACGCCTCCTCGGAAGACTGCAGGGTCAAGGGCAGGAGACACGCGACGCTGTCCCTGAGCGCCAGCCAGAGGGAGACGGAGGCAGCATGTACTGGGTACTTACTGTATTTCAGGCACTTATTTTAAAAAATCAATAGGGTGTCACTTACATACAACACAATGCACACGTTTTAACTGCACGGTGTGGCGTATTTTGACAGATGCTTATACCCATGTAACTACCCCACAATCAAGATATGGAAACGTATCTGTCACCCACAGAGTCC